AAAAGGTTTATTGATGATTGTTACCTGCAGTAGGATGAAGTGCAAAACGTAGCAACAGGTGTAATTCACCAATAATAAAGGCTAGGATTCAGAGGAGCCCTAAGGAAATTAGGCACCCAACTCCCACTGAGCATCTCATAGGCCCCTTGGAAAACCTCAGCCAAACACAGCTCTTTTTTTGCAAGACTGATGTGAACATGAAGATAAGGCTATGACTCCCAAATGCTGGATACTGAGCTGCTGGATACTTATAGGCAGGTCCTGATCCTGAAAGCTGCTCCATGCTGATGGACCCCTATGCCTGTATGGTGCCTTTGTGAAGTCATGGTGTTTCATTCAAGTACAAAGGCTGCCACCATGGAACAGTTTGCAGGATCCAAGCTTTATAGTATAGGCAAAGAAGTTAAGAAATTACCTCACCCATTCAGGCACTATGCTGTGCCCATCACCATGGTGTCTGAGTATGTCAGAGTCATTCCTCCATCTATAGTGGTCACCATTAAGCAGCAAGCATTTGCCAATAATTATTCATATTGGGAGTGGAGACATCACAGATCATGCCTATAAATTGATCACCATTATAATCTTTTCAATATTACCTAACATAAGTCATTTAATATTACATCTGTTCCCTACATACAGTTAATTATTTGTAAACAGCACTGTACTTGGATTAGAAAACAACTGTGGCAACTGTGTGGTATCTGTTAGCAAATATTGAATTTTGAAAGGCAGCCACTGAGTGTAACATTTTGATAACCAGCTGTACCGAAGAATAATTTTACAACATGCTCCTATTTAGGAAGTTTCCAGGTGTTCTGCAGCAATTTGTTTGTGCTGAGACGTAATAAAATATACCACACATCCTTCCTTGCTTCTCAGGATATTTTTTCTCTCTGCTCTTAGTGCTCTAGGGAAAACTGCTTGTGTTGGATCCCATTACAGCCCTGTGACAAACCGATTAAGCATATTGTATAATGAAAGCAAGTGGCCATGACCTAATGCTCAGATCAAAGATGGAGCTCTTAACACAGCTATCATGGGAAAGTTGGCATAGTATAATAGCAAAATGTGATACTAAATTGAAAAGTGATGAACCGCTGTGATGATCTGTGCAGTATTCAAGGAGACATTACCCATACATTACTCAGTGCCTTAGTACTGCAGGAGTCTTAGAATAGTGGATGACCTTACACGTATCACAGGCCAGTGAACATCTTACTCCTGTTGGTAAGCAGTTACTCACGTGAGGAATCACATTAGAGTCCAAGGGACTAGTTATGTGGGCAACTGTTCACTAATGCAAATAAGGGGCTCACAGTCTGGCTCCAGACAAAGTGCAAGGCAATAGCCAGGGAAAATAACAGGATGAGTTAAGACAGAGTTGTGACTTTAATTCTTCATTTCCTGCTTTTAAATCCAGCTCCTACCATTATTCAAACATGTTTTTATTGTGGGTTTGTTCATTGACACCACCTCCCCTTAAAAAGCAGGACAATTATGTTCCTAAAGATGCTGGTCAGGGCTTCATCTTTCCTGGGTCCATGAACGATTTTTTTTTAATGTTTCCAAGTGTTGTTATCAACACTAAATATTGTGACATGCCAATCCCGATGCCCACATCTGAGATTTCGGATTCTTTTTTCAGACAGTACAATTTGTATTATGTTTTCCAAATTAAATTAACTGTTCAGCAATCAATTAGTGAAGAAACAGTTGATCCTGATGGGACCAGACTACAGAACCTTCTGGCAACTCTAGATCAGTTCACTGCTAGTGCTAATCAGGCTACCCGCACTGTAAACCTGAGCTTTGCTATGAGAGCTGACAGATCAGGAGGACAGCCTATGACCCAAAGTTTTTAATAGCTCAATAGGGCCTAGATGAGTGGATTGTGGAAAAGTGTATTTTTTTTAATATTGGAAAATCAGCCGTGAACACTGAACAGAGAAGTAAAGTTGGTCAATATGTCCCTTTATGATAGAAAATGGCTCTGCAGATCTTACTCAAAGCTGTAGCCACTTGACAGATTGGATCAGGTTGAGATGTTTTGACAGGTTTCAATTCTAGGAACATCTGCAGGTCCACTGGCTTCCTCAGGTGTTGGTCACCATCCAGTCAAGAATGCTCCTAAATCAACCACAAGAGGCATACAGACGAGGCAGTGTTCCTCTCCATCATAGCATTTCTATAGTAATTTTCTATTGCACTAGACTAGAATATCCAGGCACTGAATGGCTATGCACAAAGATAAGAAAGGTGACAAATTAAGCAGAATGACTACTGTGAAACGACAGAAATGTATTTCTATACTGATCAGTATACAGTACAAATGCAGCTTTGATAATTCTGACATTTATTCCTATTGTATTTGTGTTTTTTGTACGTATAAATTATCATACAATTTGTGTTTGTGAGGAATTAAACCTCATCTCCAAAAAATACAGTGATAGGACATGAACTTAGAATCTACTGTTGATTCAAGTCTCTTCCTAGGTGTAGTTATGATAGGATTTACACTGTTGCTGACTGGAAAAACATCAGACAGATTCAAAGAGTTTAAGATGAGATGGAACCATTAGGTTACATAGTCTGACTTCTTGTCTACTGCAAGCTATTAAATTTAAGCTAGTAACCACTGTATTGAGCACAAAAACTTGCACAGATGGTCTCATTCAAACCCAGGAACACAGAGTTAATTGTGAGTGAGGGGAACGGATAAACTAGTGGCACTGCCTGCATGCAGGAGATAGGGCAATTAACTTAATCCACCTGTGCCTTGCTTCCCCAATCTGTAACATGAAGGTGATACCTGGTAGGGTGTCCTAAGGTTAAAAATCCATTCATGATTGTGTGATGCTCTGGTACTACGAGGGCCATATAAGCACGTACAGACACACACAGAGAGAACTGGATCTCCAATAGGAATAGAAAACAATATTTTTAAATGCCTGCTGAAGAGCTTATGAAATGACATTCTCAATATGACTCAATAATATAGTAGACTGATATGTTCTGTGTCGCCTCATCTCAGGTACTTGGGTACTGTGTGATCTGTCACCTGGAGTAGGTTATTTCTATACAGGAAAATTAATTATTTTTTAAATCATAGAGGAGTCATATTTAACAATCAAGGGCAGAGGAGAGAGTAATTGCAGCTGGTCATAAAGCCCCCTAGGAGAGACCTTGAGCCAAACTTGCTTTCATTACTGTAGCTGGATTTTTTAAAATCCAGAAATAAAAGATTGTTTTAATATTTTTCCTGTGGCTCTGTCATTGTATTGCAGAAGAGTCTGAACAGTGGGGTTCAAGATGTGTATATTTGACATTAATAGGAATTAATGCCCAGCTTAGAGTATCCCTGTTCTGAATGCAGTATTATCCTCAGCACTAGGACTATCCCTGCATACTCCTTGGGAATGACTACTAAGCAGATCACTCAGTGTGGGTAATAGTATTCTGTAACAAGCTGTACCTAACTCTCTGGGAAATGGGATTTGAGTTCTGACCTGCTGTTTTCTGTTTCTAAACCTTTTGGATTTGAAAGTTCTGCCGCAAGCACATGTGCATCTACAACAGTTCAATTGTCACTTGTAATACAAATCAAAAGATGATGGCAAAATCTGCCTGGAAGACCAATTCCTTGCAGGGTGATTCTGTCCATAGGGACCACTTTTCCATGACACCCACATCATTTCAATGGCTTCCATGACTGCAGAAAGACTGTTTTAAACAAATGTTTTCATCTGCCAAAAATCCAACACTAAAAGGTGTTTCTGGCAGATTTGTTTGCATGTACATGGTGCATGTTGTTGTTATTACCTTTCCCATTGCTGTATGAAAACAGGGTATAAAAGAATACAATTTATATATCCATCCTGCACTGTATTGCTTCCTGAAAAGGAATTATGGAAACATGAGCATGTCTCCATAATTAAAGACGCAAGCTCTGTACGATCTGGGGGGATACTACAAAATGTTTTCTGTGAATATTTATTGATTTGAATTTCCCATCAAATGCATTTCAGTTATGTTCATGTGTGTCCTTTGTGTGTTCTCAGTCTGAAACCTTCCTACACCACCAGACATCGTTTAGGATCCAAACAAGGATCCGCCAACCCTATTGTGTTTATTGTGCTGTTTGCTGGAATAGCTACCTTGTTGTGTTTCTACCACTTTTTTAGGATAAGTTGTTGATCTATCAATCATTCAACCCCCAACCAGGATCAGTGGGCTGCTTTTCTCTGGTCTCTACCCTTAGACCTGTCTGGCTTAGGTGGCCCTACCAAAATTCCCATCAGCATAGGTCTCAGGGTCAGTGAAATACCCAAGTCTTTCCACTACCTGAAGATGCAGTCCCCAGGGAAGGTTTGTGTGTTCGCCTTATGCAAATATTCCAGGAAACAACTGTACTGGCAGGAATGTTCAGAGAAATGGTGTGTTTTACAAAAGTATTTATGGAAAGCAAAATCTGAAATTGTAAGTGCAACTCTTCACATCAGAAACCTGATTCATTCAGTGAAGGAAATAGAAATGCCATGTGCCTATGTATCCAATGAAAACTGTTAAAATTTAAAATATCAAAGACTTGCAATGAACTGCTTGTGAACAACCTATGGACAAAGAATTGTTAGTAAAAATTCAGCAAACAATTTCTGAATACTAACTCTGTTTGTGAAAAACACAATCTGCTCACAAATAATTTGCAAACAGAAAGAAAGTTGTCACATAAACTAGTCATTTATACATGATTCACTCAGCTCTGGGTAAGTGCTTGAAAGATAGCATGCTGCAATAGGTTTACTTTCCATAGGACCTAAAGCACCAAACTTTGGAAGGCTAATCTACTTTTCTACTAGCAAATATGTTCTTTAAAATATTAGATTTTACATTATATTTGAAATGATTACTCTAGAATGTTTTCCTTCCATGGTAGCTCCAGTGTACGTGCCTCTATGTTCTTAACATCAATTATATTGCAATTATTTCAATCCTTTCAGTTGACAGCTGACTTGATCTCGAACATATTCACCGCCATTGGCTCAGTGACGTTAGCCTTATTATTGATCCTCTTCTTGGCAATTGTGATTTCCGTCATAGCTGCCAACAAACGGGCGACTCAAGGGACCTACAGCCCCAGCCGGCAGGAGAAAGAGGGATCCCGTGTGGAGATGTGGAACATGGTGCAGCCGCCACCGATGGAAAGACTGATATAGCAGAAAAGACTCCTCTGTGCTACACACTGGCAGGCATCTGGCTGAAAGGAAATAGAGTAAATATGATGGAAATGGTTGTTAATTTTGTTTTTGATACCAAGGAATATGTGATGACTTTAGGGGCTGTTGAAAATATTTGGCATTTAATCCAATAACCTTAAGGGTCTTCAGTATTTGAGTGAACTTATGCCAGCTTCTTGGACTTCTTGAACTTGGACCAGCTTCTCAAAGGACAATTTTGCTTGCACTGGAATTTTCAGCCTTGGTAATCAGCAGTATGCCTTACAGAGCGTAATGGCTTCTGGGATACATGTAAGTGCCCGTCTCTCAGATACACAGCTTCTGTTTTGCTTTTTCCTTTGACTGCCTAGTGATCATTGTTGCAGAAGACAATGCAGAGAAATAAAATAAGCCTGTACAATAAGTTCATCATAATTATGTCATGAGAGGTATTAGCATTAGAACTGTGTCTCAGCATATCTATTTTCATTCTTTAATCAGGGATTAAAAGGAAGGTCTGGGGAAGCTCCGGGGAAGCTCCCCATGAAGCGAAATAAACCTTTCAAAAGTTATTGGCTTGCTTCCCTTCAATGCACTAATTTCACCTGCTGTTTCACCACCCTTTTCTAATGCCAGTAGCCTCCTGTGACAAACACATGCCGTTCTTTAAGTGTAAGGGGACTGTTGCCCCCTTACTAACATTCAGTGGGGTGTTTTAGTTGCTAGCTCCCAGTACTAAAAAGGAGAAGGGTCTCTGGGAAATCAGGACCTTGAGACTGATAGTCCCCAGGAACAATGGGGAGAGGCCAATGCTCCAGGTCAGCCTGAATGACAGGGCGAACAGGATAATCAGGGAGTCAGGAGGCCAGGGAGGTCCCATCCTCCGTGTGAGCTGGATTTGCCTGGGTCAGACAGAGTGGGGCCGAGCTAAGGAGAAAGCAGGGGCCCAAGCTAAGCTGGGGAGCAGAGCGGTGCCAGAGCCAGAGGGGCCAGAAAAGCAGCCCAGGAAGCAGGTCAGTGCTGGAAGCAGAGTCACAGAAGCAGCCTGAAGAGAAGACCTGTCCTGGGAGCAGAGCTGTAGCAACCAGAGGCAGAGGGGCCAAAGAAGCAGCCCAGGGTGCTGGAGGCAGAGCAGCAGAGACAGAGGGATGGAGCTGGGGCTGGAGCAGTCCAGAGCTGGGTGTGTTGAGCAGCTGAGGAGAGTGAGAGGGACTTTGGGCAGTGGGCCCAGCACAGGAAGACGCCTCAGCCAAGAGGCTCTGCAGGCCAGGCTTGGATCATAACCCCGCCAGGGCAGGGGCGACACTGGGAAGAAGGGTCCTACCACTTAGAGCCTGAGAGTGTGTGGCCACCACCAGAGCAAGTGTCCAACCCACAGCCAGGGCCTGAGAAGAAGGCTTGGGACTTACAAGGAACAGGCCGTGAACTGCCCTGACATTCCAGAGACACTGTTTGTGATGTTCCCTGCCACAGAGCAGGGTGATGTGTTTTCCTTTAACCTTTTCCATTTTTCCTTATTCTTTTTAAAATTAATTGTTGATTAAATAACTTGTATTTGCTTTAAATTGTATGTAATGGTCAGTGGGTCAGGGAAATGCCCAGTGCAGAGAGAGTACCCCGGAGTGGGGATACCCTAGCCCCTGTCCTAGGTGACCACAGCAGGGTTGGGGGTCGAGCCCCCCAGGAATCCTGGGCCCAGCCTTGTCAGGGTTATGAGGACTCTGCCAGACAGGAGAGTGGAAGGGGAGTCCTCAAGGGCAGGGAGGCCACTGGGTAAAGGAAGTGGGAGTGAGGACTTAGATCCTTTCGCTAGCCCACTTCACTGGGGTAGTGCAGAAGCCAGGAAAGTTCCCCACAATAGCGGGACTATTCTCCCGCTTACACAAGCATCAGAAACGACACTCGAAACTGTTAAGGTGACACAGGTTATTTAACCAGACCTCTTTCAATGCATGGAATCTAAACATCATTTCAACCCTACATTCCCCACTGTCTTGTTCTGACTACATCACTACACTAACGTGCACTACTAGCCCTCATGCAACCCAGGTCATAAATATACATTAAGTACAAAACAGACAAGCTTGCTCAAAAATGTGTTGCCCAAGATTGCTGGAAAATATCAGAAAAGGAGAAGAATTGTCTTGTACCAAAAGCACCAGACTGGGAATCATGAGATATGGGTTCCCAGCTCTTCAACAGATTTCACATGTGACCTTGGGCAAGTCATTCACCTTTCTGTGCCTCGGTTTCCCTCCAATGAGGGATGATACTATTTGCCTACCTCATTTCCGTGATATGTGTCAAAACTTTTGTTGGAAGAGCTAGAGAAATGTAGAATATAATTGATGGAGCAAAGGAAAGTTTGGAAAGTCTCCGAACAATACAGACACAAAGGGGTAATTTTTCAACAGGACTTCAGGCTCAACTACCCCATTGGTGGGGGTAACTAGCACCTGCCAAAATGCATCCACATTGTTTTGTGCTTATAAGTTAAATGTAGGTGCAGGTGTTGTAAGCACACATCTGGCTAGCTGATTTGCATATATAGTCAGGTAGTTAAAGCGTAACTAAGCTTTAAGCTCCCACAAATGCTCGCAGAATGGAGGCGAGGCCAGGGAAAATTTGCCCCCTTCCCCAAATTACTTCTCCTGGAGTTCCAAGTGCATAGCGTTTTTCATATCCCCTCAATCCGTCCCCAGATTTTGACATGTAGATAGCTCAAATGGTTATGCCAGTACTACAACTGAGATCAGCTGGGATCTACTACTAAGCATCCCACTTTTTAAATGGCTAAACCACAGTTCTCAATGGGCTACTGAGGACCAAATCTGACCAAAGCTTATATTCTTTATGGACTATCAGCTGATCACAGAGAACAATCAGGGGAGGAAGGGCGGAACAAGCTGCTGTCCAGCCCTAAAACACCTAGTGAATTAGGAAACCAACAGAAACCAGCACAGAAGCTCCTTAGTTACAACTCCTACAGCTCCACTGAAGTCAAATACCTTGTACTCAATGGAATTGCAGAGACTATAAAGCTAGGGTAGAATTTGCTGCACCCTGTATTTTGAATGAGTAAATGTCAGTTATCTTTTAAGCTGCTCCTGACTTCAATGAACCCAAATGGCAGCTACTAACAGAAAGCAAGAAACAAAAAATATTATAGTAGATACAGTGGAGCTTTAGCTGAGCCGTTGGCAGGGTTTGATTTGTTTATTATTATATTCAGATGACTGACACTGAGGCCCTCAGCACTAGCTTATAACTTAGCTTAGCCATTATAGTATGAGACTAGTCCTGATGGTTCAGACGAATAAGGAACACAAGGAGATTTGGTATGTATAGAGCTAGGCAAAATTTTTCAGATAAAACTTATTGCACCAAAAAATTGAAGATTTGGATCAACCAACACATGCAACACACCCACTGAGCCCCAAACACAATCCCATCCACCGTTTTGGCATCATCACCGCCCCAAGCTGCTCCTCACATATCTCTAGTGGAAAGAGGTGGGACCCAGTACCTATTAAAGAGCACATACCACTATCCAGTAGTGTAGGATAGGAAGAGATAGTGAGGCCTGCATTCCAGTGAAACTCCATGGAGATTTAAACTAGGCAGCATCTAATTATCCCATCTGGAACCTGGCCAGGATACAAGGTTTAATAGAATTATACATTACGACAGTATGTGCCTTCTGCATTTTTTTAAATGTAAAATTAACTCAATTCTCTCTGCAAATATAATTTTATAGCATGGGTGGTACATAATGTTATTATTTCTATGTGCAGCCTTAAAATACAGAAATGGCAAACAAATAGGGACTGTGGCAAATCATGCACAAGAACTGCCCATGTTTTTGTTTTGTTCTGTGGGACTATGTGATCAGACATTTAAAAATAAAATTAACCCCAGGCCAGAACCGTATTTGCTGCTCAAAAATCAAGAAATATTCCGTTTGGAACCAAGTGATCCATAAACATTTACCATCTACGGAAATCATATGAAAGTGCTTTGTAGCTGGGATCTGGGGCTGTCTGCATCAGTCTCCTGCTGCCTACATGGCTTTGGTAATATGTTCATGCTGAGAGGTTGCATTATATGTGTTTAAGGGAAAATATTTAAGACCAGGTGATCAGGTGGTGGAAATGAGCAAAGTTCCATTGGAGTCCATGAAATTATGCTGATTTACATCGGTTGAGAATCTAGCTCTCCATTTCCTAATTGACTTTGGTCTTTCCTGTGTTGTTTCCTGTTTCCTGCTCCTGTTGTTACTCACACTAAGTGTGGAATTGGAGAGTAGGTCAAATAGAGATAATTGGGGCCAACTCTTCTTGGTCCTGTGCAGGTGCTTAACGGCAAGAGTTCCACACCCACTTTTGTCCCGGAGGAAGAGATGAGCACATTTCACAGCCTGAGGAGACATTCCAATCCTTCATCTGGTGTCTACTGGTCTCTGCTGATTTCTCCTGGAGGGCCAGGAGCCTCAGGAGGCAGCATACCCATTGCCTCAAACCAAGTAGCCAGCTGGAACTACTAGGAACCCACTGAACATTTTCAGCCTGCAGTGGCATTAACTTCCCCAAGGGAGAGGCTGGGTTACGTTTCCCTCTCTGGGAAATGCAAGCGGCACTCTTAAAAAAGGGTTGCAGTGGCTGTGATTCCCAGCACACTCTGTGATGGTGCAGAGTTCAGGTACACACCAGCCCTGCCTCACAGCCTTAACTCTGCCCTCCTTGAGTGATGCCCCAACCCACCCACCAGATGGATGTTATGGAACAATAGGAGAAACTGTCATACTATGTCCTCACTAAGGAAAATTTGAACGTCAGCTGGTTGTGCCTGACCTATCCTCAACGCCTGCATCTACTTTGCATAAACCACATGAGGGTTGTCAGATGTTACCACCCCATGTTCCAAGGTTTCCCTCTGAAATATCATCTCTAACCTGCAGTGCACGGTCCTATATGCTATCAGACGGTTACAAATTCCCACATCACAAACAGATTACTTTGGTCCTCTAGAAACACAACCTACGTAACTCAGCACAGAAATAAGCCATCTGCAATCCCTTTGAGTGTAGATGCACCTTTCCTCCTATCGCAACAGGTCATCCCTGCACCAGTCCCTAGGACAGTGAAGGGCAGTTGCAGCGCACGCAGACGAATTATAGAATATAGTTCTGTGGGACAACATACCACATAAAGTGGCACATTTAGTCAATCCTCATGTCTGCTTAGTAAATGGCAGCCCTGGCTAACAGACGGAGTAGAGGTAGATTTTCAGGGCAGAGCTGGAGTGTACCTTAACTCTGTATTTCCTGGTTTTCAGAGTTTCAAGTACTGGTGCAATCAACACTCTGGAAGGGTACAAGCCACTGCTGGTCAATCTTAACTCTGTGTTGGACAATGAATACTTTCAGTGTTTCGAGTCACTACCTATTTAATCCTGGATGTCAGGACAAGTTGCAAGCTGAATTAAATCACCATAACTTAAAACCAAACTACGCCATCATACTAGTAACTGAATGCGAAGGGATTCTGATCTCCTCAAAGTAACACAAATGATGAGGATTCACCGCAGTGAACTTTAAATAAAAAGAAAACACTGCCTTGCCTTAAAGTAGCACTGTGAAAGGTGAAATGATAAGAAAATAAAGGAAACATTTTACTGTGTTGCCAAGAAACCCTGAAAGAGTAATTCTCAAAGATTCTTTCGCCGTTCAATAAAGTGTTATTTTACCTGAGAAATTGCTGTGTTATGTGACTTATGTTAACAGGCTACTCTGCCATTCAAGAAACTCCACTTCAGTTTTCCAGCTGTGGCAGGCCATTCTCAGCAGAGTGTCCTTAGATCTGGAAGCCACACCCCTTTGAGGTCTGGCAGAATCCAGGTCTAATAACCTTTTAGGATGCAAGATCCATCTGGTTCATCCGGCCTGTTGTTCAATAGCTGAGCTAGTATTTATTGTCAGTATCAGAGTGTGAGTGCACATGTGAGAGTGAGAGACACCGGTTTAGTAGCCAGTTAGCAATCAATGTTAACTGTTCATTTTTATAAACACCCAGATGATGGACATAATACATACGACAACTTAAATAAAAAAGGTGGTGGTGATTGATGCAACTTAAGGAGATGAGTGAGACAAGCACAAGAAACCTATAGCTGAAAACTTCTACCCTATTCTCTTTCCCCAGCTAGCAAAGCAACTGAAAAATTCTTCATTGCATTTTATTAATTTAAGCCCTGAGCTGGGAACCCACTCTTTTCAGGACAAGCATTGCAGCTGCAAATGCAGAGCCCCAGGAATCATAGGATGCTGGCAATGTTCCTTTTCCCTATTTTATCTGATTGCCTTGCAAATAACAAAACCTGACACTTCTGTATATGATTCAAATAAGAACATCAGATCGCGCAGTGTAAGTCAATAAAGTAAACACTGAGTCGTTGACAAAACTAAAATTTTTGCCTATTACAAAACATCACAGTTGAGTGCACGAAAGGGGCTTTCATGCCCCAATGGAGCATGCACAGCCTTCAACCTACTGGCATGTGTCAAGATGCTGCAAAATGTAACATTTATAAAAGATACATCTGGTGTGTATTTCTTGGGAGCAGAGTAAGGTCTTGTTTAAATTGTGCACATGCATTTGATGTGAAAAATAGGCAATACCCCATGCACCCCAATAAAATCATGTTCTAACCTAACCTCCAGCTATGATGGATGCCATGAAGCGCCAAGGCCTATTGCAGAGTTTAAATTATGAATCAAGGCAGAGGTGGGAATCCCAAAGACCAGAATAAGCATTCTCATTTCATTGGTGAGATGGCTTCCTGCGGATTCCCTTTAAATGTTATTTCTGGAATAAAAAATTATTGGGTTTTTATACTGTAACCAATCCAAACCATTTTGGGTTACATTTCAACTTGGTTTCACAAAAGTTGTTTTTTATTCCTGTTTTTATTATCTTGCAAGTATTTTCCTTAACATTGTTTGGCAAAGCAATTACATTCATCCAACATTGTCTAAGAACAGTAAGATTGACATTTCCAAAACTTTAAATCCTCCTTTTGATCATAACAAACTACGCAGGCATTCATCTGGTTTTGTGCTCTTCATGGTACTGTTCAAAGTGTGACATTTTTCTTAGCTCAGTAGTGTGTATGACCTTTCAAATTTCACCTGTAGTTTCACCAGAAGTGCAATTTTCATTGGCATGTATTGTAATAAATAGTGATGACAAAAGTGTGTGTTTCCAATTTAAACCCACCTAGTTTCATTTCGCACCTGTGCTGAATTTTACTTTTCTGCAGAAATATGAAAACGCTGTCAGCAAAATAGGTTTCGAAGGAGGAGTGCAAACCTAAAGGACAGAAAATTTGCACTGGTACATCAAGTTGTTTGGATGACAGTACTTTCTAACCCTCCCACAATGACATTTTCATCTGCATGAATATACATCTACAGCTTGTTTGCAGTGCATATGTGGTTGCAGCGTGAAGGACTCACAGGTTAAACATCAACTTTATGTCCCCTACAATCATTGGTTTAATGTGTGCTGCGCACCCATGTCACTGCACAGTAGTACACAGAATGTCAGTCAATAGCCAACTTCACGATCACAGTCAAATTGGCAAAGTGCGAGCTTATGTGGAAGAAAATTAATGGGATTTGTTGATACATTTTTGCCATAGTGAAAATGAGCTTAAACTACTGGAAACTGCTTTGCCTGCAAGCTTCTCCTTACTGTGCAGAAACACCACCCAAAGCTGCAAGTCTGTGTGCACCCAGCAGTGATGGGCCACCCTTTCTGCTGCCCTCAGTCAAGACTAGAAAGGTTAGGGCATGACACATCCCACCTAAGGGCAGAAAATACAAGACTTTCCTACAACCCTCTTGAGGCTGCCTGAAGTACTGGTGCCAAATCTAGCAAGACAGACATTTCAAGAATTGGACACAATGTCCAAGTGATCAGAAAACCATTGAGTGAACCACATTGAAAACCATGACAGTCAAACAGAATCTGAAACAGAAATGTTATGAACATATTTGCCCTTCCTTTTCTCTCTCAACTGCTGGATGTTGCCCCTCATTTGTTGTTGCCTCATTGACCTCACAGATGAAAATGTGTTACTCAGTGCCTAGGTGTGTCAATTTGAGAACATTAACAGTAAATTCGCAGGGTGGTGCTCACCTTTTCACCTTTAATGTCCCTCCCCCATACCTCCCGATTTCCAGGTAAACTAGTCAGGTGCTCCCTCTCCCAGAATATCCTTTCAGCCAGTGATCTGTGTGAGGGCTTTAGCTCAATATACCTACCTACCCTTCCCATCAGATGCCAGAGATGGAATCTACATTAGTCTGTTTAAATTAGAGCTGGGCCTGACAAGCATAATTCAGATCCAGCTCTTGATACAGCTGCATTGTAGCACTGATGTAATGTAGCCTAAAGCTGATTTAACCAGCCCAGGAAAACACTACTTTCAGGAAAAACAATGGCTGTTAAACACTAGAAAGAAAAATAGATGGTCCCGCAGAAGATGTGGATTTACCAAACTGTGTTGTGCATGCCAATCAATCCTGAGCTGTATTTTTCTCCGACGGTGGGGCTGAGACATAGAACTGCTGAGTCAGACTTCCTGACACAGATCGGAGTGGAGAGAAGACAAAGAAAAAAAACAAAAAACAGTTACACAAATACTGGTCTGTTGACATTCAAAATGAGACAATGAGGAGTATACAAAAAAAGATATAAAAAATACTTGGCCAGCAACCAAAAGGACCAAAGACAAGTCACAAAATAGGCTGTAACTAATTAGACTGAAATGCCAACATTGCTCAATACATTGTTCAAAGTATCCGTAGTGTCAGACTGCTGCCCTAACCCCCGATTTGAATATGCCAGAGGGAGAGATAGCAAA